ACTTGACGTTGACGAATTTCGGGGCCGTGTCGGCCATAAGTTTCATTCTGTTCCTGGTCCTGATGGGATCCCGCATGGATGCTGGAAGGCCCCTGGGGCGACCGCTGCCCTGTTCGAGGTTTACGAGGAGGTTTTCAACAGCGCGGGAGATTCACTCCCCCCTGATTGTCGAGTTAGTCGCATGGTCTTCCTCCCGAAGGGCAGCGACCCGCGTGATCGCAGTGACTTTGTCTCACGTGCACCTGCCTCCACCCGCCCGCTCTCCCTCTCGAACACGGACGCGAAGATCCTTTCCGATGCCTTCTGTCTCGGACTCAACGACGTCGCTCCTGTGGCGGTGGGTTCCCCCCAGCGAGGTGGGGTTCGAGGGCGTAACATTCTGGGCAATGTCGAGGTGGGAAAATGTGGCCTCCTTCAACACCTGTACTGGGTGGGTGAAACGCAGGGAGCAAGGGCTGTGCTGGGTGGTGGCGGACGCATGCGGGCGGTGCCACTGGGGGCTTCGGTGGAGCTCCATATGGGGCCACGAAGCGCTGTGCTGGGTGGGTGAAACGCATGGAAGAAGGAGGAGGGAGGGGAGCAGGGGGAAAAGGAGGAGGAGAGGACAAGGGGAACGCGGAGACCGTCTCTTCAAAACTAGGACCCAACACCACATGATGTTTGGGAAAAACATGCTCTCAACATTTCCAGAACCGTTTTCGTACAGCTCATTTTTTACACATCCCCAATACTATGGTAGGATTGTTAGAGCGTCCATTGTCATGGCAGCCACAAGACTTGAGGCTGGGCGAATGCGGTCCCAGGCCTCGGCGCGCTGCAAAGGTCGAGGCGGTGCTCTTGTCCACGTTTTCGGTCTGCGGGGGCCCCCGCCGGGCCCGTGAAAAGCGATTCGGGGGCGGAAGAGACGAGGGTGGTGACTAGTGGGGGGTGGATATCATGGTGGGGCCATGATATTTCCTCTGATTTATGGCGCCTCTTCTTATATCATTGCGTCCCTGGCCCCCCCGCTGGGCCGCGCGCATGCCGCCGGTTCTAATTTGCCCCCCCCCCCCCCCCCTCTTGGACGCCCCCCACTTGGCCGCTCCCGAGCGATCCAGGTCGGGGGCCTTCAGGCGGGGACCAATGCAAACGGGGGCCAGCCAGGGCGCCCTACAAAGCCAGGTTTGCGTTGGCCCAGTCTAGCGCGCTGGATGTTGCAGGATCTTGCAGAATTATGCAAGCCTGGCTGACTGGGGCTTGCAATGGCCTGGGTCAGTAGGAGCTCGATCAGGATGAGAAAGCCGGTCTTTGGGAAGGGATCTAGAGCTCCGGAGATTCCGTTTTCAAGAACATAAAGACAAAGTGTAGTTGAGCGCTCGCAATTGAGCATTGCCTCTATCTCGATGGGGACGAGGGCGGATGATAGGCTCAGGAGGGACGCATCGAGCCCTAATCGCCCACTGGTGGCACATAATTAGGGCCCCGATAGCTCACCCCTCCCAGGAGCATGTGGATTGGCTATCGGTGGCATATCGCCTGTCGGCGACGTATTGTCGAGTCCAGATCGATGTTTCCCCCCGAGTTGGTTCCCCTCCTACTGCTGCCCTTTATTTTATCAATTGCGCAGCCGCGTGCCGCTGTCCCTCACCCTCACTCTTCCCGACCTTCCGCCCTAACTTTCCGCCCATGTTCGATATGATATGTGTGGTGCCATCTTTGGGGTGCAACCTATGTGGTGCAGTATGTGGTGCAAGCTGCGTGGTGCAATTCACTTGCCGAACTTGAAGTTGTCAACCCCCCTGCTCGCGCAATCATGCCACCCGCCCACGCGCAACTTGGTTTGCAAAACCCATGCGGGAGCGATTGCGATGGGTGCTGGGTGTTGGCTGGTGCATCTCTGCGGCCGCGCTAGCCCGCGCATGCTCGCGCGCGCAGCGGCTAGCTAGTTTGGCGCGACCGACGCGAACGCGGTGGCGTTGACCGCTCTGCATATCCCAGCGGGCACTTCAGTGCGAGTCGGCGACTTGGGCGGGCGCGGTATCATGGCAACGTCGACAACGGCTGACACGATGATGATCGTAGCGATGTTGGTGACGATGTTCACAGCGACGACGGGGCAGCCAATGACGGCGTCGATGCTGATCACGCCAACGGCGATGACGGCGTCTTCGCGTCGGTGATGAAGGTTTTGGAAGGACTTCGAAATGCGCCCGCGGCAGATCCGCGAGAGTGGCTCGCATGGTATGATTCGACACGGATCGTGCCACCCCACCACGCGCGCAAAAGCGTTCGGACGATTTCGACATGCGCGCGGAGCCCGTTTGGTAGCATGTGTTGAGAATGTTGAAACTTATGGTTTGTTAAGGAGAATTCGCTGGAGCGCGCGCACGCTTTTGTTGAAAATCCGCGTCGCGAAACAATGTGTGTTCTCATTTGGCTTGGACATTCAATTTGGATTTTTTTCAGACACCGAGGGTTTTTGACAGATTTTGGCATGCGCGCGCAACGACGCGTGCGTGCGCATTTCGTTTCGTTTTGTGCAAGGGATTTTTTGTGAACCTAGAGTTTTGATAAGCGAGTGCGCGCGCATAACCGTCCTAGCTGGGATAGTACGAATTCCCACAACAAAAATAGACATTTGGTCAGCGTCATATGTGTTTTGCATAGGTTCCCTGGGAATGGATACTTCGGGGGGGAGGGTGGTAGAGTCCACTTTTTCGGAACAGGGGCATCGATCTGGTGCAACGCAAAGCAACGCGAGGCAAAGCGTCGCAGTGCAACGCAGACCGATTGCAACGCAATGCGATTGTAATGCCACGTGGGGGGGGGGGCAGCGGGACGGGCGACGACGGGGCGGCGACGGGTGGCCACATGCCAGCCCGACCGACAACCTGGCCCAGTTCTTCAGAACCAGGAAGAGCCCCCACGTGGAAGCATTGATCGATGACCCTGAGGACGCGTGCTCGCCCAGTGTGTTTTTATTTCCGCGTTCCACCCAACCAATCGATCATCACACCGCCGTCGTCGTAGCGAAGGGCCTTCGAGGGCAACACACACGTGGTCGCCAGCACACGTTCTGAGGATCATCGAATATCGGGAGCGGAAAAGAGGGGGGTGATGACTAGGGGGGGGTATTTCATGGCGCGGGTCATGATTTTTCCTCAGATTTCATGGCGCCTCTTCTTATTTCATTGCGTCCCTGGCCCCCCCGCTGGGCCGCGCACGTGCCGCTGGTTATGATTTGCACCCCCCCCTCTTGGACACCCCCCTCTTGGCCGCTCCCGAGAATAGATCGGGGACGCTGGCGGGAGCTTCTGAGAGACCCGCGCGGGCTTCTCGGGTCGGCGCTGGACCCCTCTCCCGTCCGCCCGCGGCGGCACCGCGGCGCCGCCCCGGGTGCGCGCCCAGCGCGCCATGGAAGAGGTGGGTTTCGCCGTTCAGGAGGGGGAAAAACACACAGACACAATTAATCGTCGACTCGCAGAAAATATGGGCAACTATGGGAAGTGGGGGGAAGACAAAAACTCCGAAAATATGGGGAAATATGGGGGATCCTTTTATTTGCGTGTATTTATTTGTGTGTCTCAGGGCCCCTTCAGCCGTTCTTTTGCCGTGATCTGTCAGGAGGGAAAAGGACATACAGACACGATGAATCGTCGACCCCCCCAAAATATCAAACACTATGGAGAACTAGGGGGAATCCTGTTACGTGTGTCTACTTGTTTGTGTGTCCCAGGGCCCCTTCAATCTTGTGGTGCTGGGTCTCCACCTCGATCCTCCGCACGCAATCGCCCCATGTCGGCACACCCCTCCCACGCTCCGTGGCCCCGTGGCCACCGGGAGCTCCGCCGCGGGGTCCATGGGGTGCAATCGCGCGCAGCCCCCCCGCCCATCTCGGCACATTCCTGGCACTCTTCGTGGCCCCATAGTGGGTGGGCTCCACCGAAGGCCCCACGGGATGCGTCCGCATGCGGCCACCCCGTCCGTTTCGGCACAATCCTCACACGCGTCCTGGCCCCATGGGGAGGCGCCAGGCAAACCAGCTGCCTGAGCCGATGCTCTATCCTGCGCCCTGCTGTCCTGCCCTTGCGCCACCCCCGAGCGCTCCCCCCCCCCTCCCTCCTGAGCTCCGTGGGGCTGGGGCTCGATGCCTTGGCTTCGGGTTCTCTGGGCTCCGGGCGGTTTGTGGGGTCGGGCCGTCTTTGCGAGGGTGGGGCTTGCGCCCTCCAAGTTCAGGAGGGGAAAAAACACCGACACAATTGATCGTTGATTCCCCAGAAAAGATGGGAAAATATGGGAAGGGGGGGGAAGACAAGAACCCCGAAAAGATGGGAAACTATGGGGAATATGGTTATTTGTGTCTATTTCTTCGCGTGTCCCAGGGCCCCTTCACAAGTTACCTCCTGGGTCTTGGATGGCACCCGCTCCGGTCGGCGCCAAACCTGAGGACGTTGCCGTGCTCAGCTTTGCGCGTGGCGCCGCGGTAGAGGTGATTTTCGGACCACGGAGGAGCATCCTGGATCATCGTGGGCAGCATCCGCGCAAGACATCGAGACATGCGCAGGACATGGACGCCGGAGCGGTGGCCACTGTTGGGCCTTGGGCGCCGCGCAATGGGGGGGTCATGAATAGGGGGGTGGCGAACGTGGTCCGAAAAGGCACCCAAACGGTACCTAAACGAGCCCCCTGGGGCTCTGGAGGGGCCCGAAAGGGGCACGAAAGGGGACCTTTTTTGACCCCCCCATTTGCAAGGGCGCCCTCGAGGGCGCGAAGTTATTCGCGCTTCGCGCTTCGCGGTTCGGCTCCGATTCCTCCTCATCCTCCTCTTCTCCCCTTGGAGGCGGCGCGAGAGCGCGAAGTTATTCGCACTTCGCGCTTCGCGCGGCGCGAAGCGCGAAGCTGGGAGCCCTTGCATTTGTGACCCCCCCATGAAGCCACGCCCAATGGCCGCAGGCCCCAGCTGGCAGGGGGAGGCGGTGCACCGAAAGGCTTCCGCGCCCGAGCGCCGCGCGCCCGCCCAGATGCAGATCGAGGCCCCCGCGGCGGTCCGCCATCGCCGGGGGCGGGGCCGGGGAGCGGCGAGGGCGAGGGTCAGAGGCAAGGCTGGGGGGGGGGGGTCTCGGTCGCGAGTCACGGGAGCCTCGGCTTCGAGTACAATCGGACCGAGGTGTAAGATCGCACCTTCGCGGAGGTCGGGAGGTACGGAAGGTGGAGGGAGGGAAAGGCGGGCGGTGGCATGCCTTTGTGGGGTTACTCCAGAGTTCGGGTGCTCCACTTTCACCATCTTCCTTTTCTCCAGAGGCGTATCATGGCCAGGGCCATCGTGACTGTCTCCCCAGGTTTCTTGACCCCCTCTTGTTGCTTCAATGCAGTCGGACCGAGGTATAAGGTAGAGGTCGGTTTTGGGGAGGGTACCCTCGTGTTCTTCGTGTGTGTTGGAAGTTCTTTTGCATCCTGGGGAGGGTACCCTCGGATGTTCTGTGTGTTTTGGCCCGCAGAGGGTCTCATGTTCTTGAGGGATGTTTTTCTGGCCTAGGTCCGACTGTACCGTCGGAGCGTCTCCTTTTTTTCCAGTTGAGCGTTTTTGACGTCAGGTTCGGCCCCCAGGACCATCTCAGATCGATCCTGGTCGAACAATGGCGCAGAAAGATAGGGTCTCGGGCTCCAGTCGTCATTCTCTATTCGGTGTTGTTTACGAGGGCTCTAGGGGTCGAAGTCACTCGAAACCGATGAGAAGGATGGATAACCTTCCCAAGTCTCCTCGATCGATCCTTAACCCCTTCAGATTGCCAGCCCCGCTTGAAACGCCTCGACATGGGCGTTGAAGGGGCTTGCATATGCATTGCGCATCCTCACTGTCAGTTTTGACTGTAGTGGGGTCGGTAGCAATTCATGGGAGCTTTGAGTACAGTCAAAGCGCATAGTTCGGCTAGGGGATCGACTACATAATTG